AAAAAATAAAATAAATAAATAAAAAATAAATAAATAAAATGCATTCCTCTAAAATTAAAAAAAAAAATCAACCATTCAATAAAAAACCATATATAGCAAGCAAACCCTTGATATCAAACACTATAGAATTACCAATGGAAATACCCTTCATTGTGTATATATTTTCCTACCTCTGAAAGGGACTATTAATTATGAAGTCTATTAAATTTGGTGGCACTCCTAGTAAAAAGACTAATAAATAAAGGCTTATATTATCTAATAAAATGGAAATGAAGAATTCCTAGAAAAGAAAGAATGAAACTTCTTTTTTTTTTTTTTTGTCTTTTTTCGTGACCGGCAATGGATCGCAACCCTCAGTGTCGCGCCCGTACCGGACCGGGACCGGCAACGGGATTGCAACCCTCGGTGTTGCCCCCCCCGCTGCTCGCTCAGCCAGTGAGCGGCCGGTCTGCACATGGGATCTGAACCCTCGGCGGGAGCGCCGCTGCGCTTCCCAAGCGGCGCACTGTAGCAGTGCGCCACCGGGCCGGCCCGAAACTTCTGATACTTTAAACATTGGCCAGCCTTTAAGGGGGGAAAAAAAACCTCTCTCAGAAACTGCTAACTTAGAAGCAGTTTTATATAGAGAGTCTAAGTTCACATAATCCAGGTGAACCCTTGGAAAAACAGACTGACTTAGTAATTCTGGTTAAACATGGCTCTATTTCCATTCCCTGATGCATTAACACGTACAAGCCTGTGTTTCTCTTCTCAAAGAGAGCCTAGTTAATCTGAATTTTCTGAACTTGCTACACAAGTTTTACTCATCAGTGTTTAGAACTGTGAAAATGTAAGATTATAGACTCACCCTAACTGAATTATAAAATTCTGACAAACTTTTTTATATTACCAGAAATTATGCTGTTTTGTAGTGTATCAGCTTAAACACAAAGTTCAAGTCCTTTGTTAACCTAAAGACTGGGCCATTATTAAATCGACTGAATTTGTCACTAATGTGTAGACCCTTGAACAAATCCTAAGAGAGAATACAAAATTATCAGTCATAGGTTAATAAATACATGCACACGTGCCTTTGTCTCTTACTGCTACCATGACACAGGAAGCGGAGACACCTTTGCATGCTCGTTTTGCTCATCAGACATGTAAAATGAGGCACTTATCATGTGGACTTCAAAGCTCTGTTAAAATGCTCAAATACATATGTTCCATTTTTTATCTGGGTTAAATACATATGTGGTCTTTGCCCAAGTTCCTGGCACAGAGCTCCTCAAAATTTTTTAGATTTAGATAGATTTAGGAGCTCTATACTTTTTGGATCTAGCTTCAGTCTGGGAGCTGCTCACCAGCAAGACCTCATTAGAGGGTGGGAACTTCAGCCCCACACCCTGACTTCCACCAAGAAGAAAGAGGCTGGAGACTGAGTTACAAAAACTCTTAAAGGTCACTATGGAAAACTGTATGGAGTTTTCTCAAACAACTACAGGCAGATCTTCCATATGATCCAGCAATTCCACTTCTGGGTATGTCAAAGGGATACCTACGACTCCCATGTTCATTGCAGCTCTGTTCACAATAGCCAAGATATGGAACCAACCTAAATGTCCATTGATGGACAACTGGATAATGAAAATATGGTATATATACACCATGAAATACTATTCTGCCATAAAAAAGAATGAAATTCTCCCATTTGCAACAACATGGAGGGGCTTAGAGAAACTTATGTTGAGTGAAATAAGCAAAGCACAGAGGGATAAATACCGTATGTGTTCACTCATATGTGGGAGCTAAGAGAGAAAGAGGGAAGGAAAGACCACAGTGGCATGTTAGACTTGCAGAGGGAGAAAACATACCTAGGGATACAAACTGGAGTGGGAAAAGGGACATAGGAAGGGAGGTCAGAGATAATTGGGGGAATAATTGGGTGGGGGACACAGGCTAATAATCACAATTTGTGGTAATGGGCATGCTGCCAGTATGGATCTGGCCATCACATCTTAGGAACGAGTGGTGACAATTTGCTTTATACCCTATGAATATTCATAACCAATAACATAAATAAAGAAATAAAAAAAACTCCTGAAGGAGATCCAGTGAGATGGTTGATGAAAATATGGCTGTGCTGGGAGGGCTTAGAAGCTATGTACTACTCCCTGACCCATACCTTGCCTTACGCATCCCTTCCATTAGGCTGTTCCGTTTTATATTCATTGAAATAAACTGATAAACGTCTTTTTCTGCATTCTGTGAGTTGTTCCAGTGAATTACTGAACCTAAGGGGTGAGGGGTCATGGAAAACCCCAAATTTGTACTAAGCCAGGCAGAAGTGTAAGTAGTTTGGGAACCCCATTTGCAGCTGGCGTCTGAAGTGGGAGCAGTCTTGTGGGACTGAGACGTCTGTGCTAACTCCAGTAGTTAGCATCAAATTTTTTTTTTTTCCTTTTTGTCTTTTTTCGTGTCCGGCAACAGACCGCAACCCTCAGTGTAGGCAGGAGCGTCGCTGCGCTCCCAGCGCCGCACTCTCCCGAGTGCGCCACGGGGGTCGGCCCTAGTGTCAAAATTGAACCAAGTTGTTGGACACCCAACTGGTGTCAGAAAACTGAAGAACTTGTATGCAAAATGACACATATTTGGTGTCAGGGAAAAAACACTACCTGAATCAGAAGTTAGTTAATTTGGATAAAAGTTGTAATAATACGGATGGTTAAGATTAAACCCAGAAAGAGTGGTGGCAGAGAAAGACGGATATGTATGCAGGATAACAGATGTTTCTACCAAGGAAGAAAGATTGTAATTTTTGTCTTAGACGAGAATGTCTGATTATTCCAGAACATGAAAGAAGATAGTTAAGAGACAAGTGAGCAGATACAGTAAACCATACAGGTTTGAGGGAAAGTAAATTTTATCTGCCTTGGTATATAACACCTGTAAAAACGTATTATAACTGACAAAGTTGGGCCAGCCCGGTGGCGCACTGCTACAGTGTGCCGCTTGGGAGTGCGGCGGCGCTCCCGCCGAGGGTTCGGATCCCACATACAGACCGG